AGGCACTGACTGCCCTTGACACTGACCTCTTCCTGGAGGGTCAGGCAGTGACTGCCCTTGACACTGACCTCTTCCTGGAGGGTCAGGCACTGACTGACCTTGACACTGACCTCTTCCTGTTGCTTCTGGCCTTGAATCCAATTCTGCAATCAACTAATATTTTTCAGGCGTCATAAAAATGATGTTGTACCACGTTGTCCAAAAATGATTTGTACAGAATCGCTTCGTCCTTGAGAATGTGGAATTTCCACCATTGACTCAGGCATTCCACAGAAAGTGGAAAATGTTCAATGCTCATTGAAGCAGGGAGACACTTTGACTTGACTCTTTCGATATTAATTGTAAACTCGACAATGTTATACACTTGACTGTGAATGCGGTTGGATAAACACAAATATCGGGTGTGCACCTGTTTTCCATTAACTTGAATGGGGTTGGTAGATCACATTAAGTTGGATACAGCGTGTGTGAGAATCCCACATTCAGGGCTATCGAGGTGCATATGGCAGGCAATACAGAAAGTAGGTTGCTGTGTCTGTGCATATATTTTAAATATGTTAATTACGTGTTTGCATGAGGAAGGCAGGAATTGGTCAAACATTCAAACGGCATCGCTCTCATACTTGACGTTCACCCCCTACTTAAAAAAAAATACACCTACGTTAATGCGTGCATTTATTAGTGAGTGGACGTCTCATGCAATGCATAAGAAGGTTAATTAATATTATAATGGGAAAGCAATGATAATGTATATCTAATTGACTGCTGGAATGAGCCCTGATGAAATTCCATCCATTGCATGCAGTTAATCAATTTACTCACGTGTTAATTCCAATTAGCAACAGCGCTTGTGTGCATGAGCCTCAGATCCATCCACTGGCTCCAAATCCAATTCCAGACGCACTTCGAAATTGCCTCACTGTTTACGAAAAGCACTCCCATCGAAGTTCCCCCTGCTTCAGCGATCGGGACTTCCCCTCGAATATGCCCTGCCAATTGCCAGTCGATAGGAGTTCTAGATTTGAAGCTTTCGTGCCTGCAATGATTCATATTCTTAGGTTTTTTTCGGTAAAGTCACTTTACCGAAAAAACCTAAGAATATAGTCGATAGGTGGTTTCTCCTTCTCTGCTGCCCTACGATCTGGAATTCCCTCTCTTTGGCCATCCACACTAACATCCCTCCCTCCCTCACAATAAGGAGTTGGCAACCTGGGAAATAGTTATATGCCCAGCACACCACATTGAGCATACCCCTCGCTCTGGCTGTGGCAACCAGTCACGTGCCATATGCTCCAGCCTACTGGCGCCCTGGAAACTGTTGAGTGATCACAGCTTTTCTGCTCAGCTTGTGTCCCGTCGCTCTTGCGCAGCCTCTTGGGACGGGGTGCTGCTTTAGATGATCTATCAATCTACATTGTGTTGCATGTTGTTGTTGTATAGGTATACGGTATATCTTCTGTATGCATATTGGCATGCGGCTTTTCACTATCAAGCTCCAAGGGCACTTCCACTTGCTCTCATTCATGTCTTAAGTTGTGGGTACCGTGGTGAAGAGAGGTTAACTCCCTCACCTGGCATGCAGGATATTATGGGTTCGATCCCGACCCTGACACCTGTATATGTGGAGTTTGAATGTTCTCCCCGTGATCGCGCGGAATTCCTCCATGTCCTCCGGTTTTCCCTCCGCATTTAGAAGCATGCATTCACAGTATTTGGCTGCTATACATTTGTACATGATAAGCCACTTCGTTGAGCCGTCATTTGTGGCCAGGTCGCATCTGATAAAGAGCTATATAGCTCAGTGGGCCTTACCTGGTAAAATAAAAAGATAGTTTACTTGTAAAGTGTTTAATCGGTGTATGTTTAACTGCTTTGACGCATGAACTATCAGCTCTTGTCCCAAAACTCTGTTTAGGCGATAAGGGGGGTATTTGCCTTTGTATGTAAACGAGATGCAAACAAATCATTGCCTCTGCTCCAAAAAGCATGGGGTGAATGCAGTGTTCGAAATTCCACAATCTCATGGCAGGGAGCAAGAGCGTTTTAATACGTTTTTTAAATATTTGCTGGTTTATTCCAGGATGTTTCTGTTACGCGTCGCCACTTTAAGATGTTCTGTGTTCATATTTTGTTTGTTGCGGTTGCACCCGACTTAAGAGCAGCATGGCTCACAGGGCTATACCTAAAAAATGAACTTGAAGAGAGGTAATAGGAAAACTGTTGCCTTTCCTCAAACTGTTATTTATTGCATACATAAGAAATTGAAAAACGTTATCAATGGAACCGTGACATTTGATTTTGTTTGTTTGTCTGTTTGTTTCAGCAGGTGAGGTTACGTAAGCCTGAAACCCAACTACTTGGCGGCAGGGTTAGTGGATTGCACAGAGATGGAGGCATTCGGTGCATGAGACATCCACCTGCCAGATGCAATAATGCTGCTTTAGGAGGCGGTACAGCAAGTAGATTGCAGGCGTTGTCAAGTTCCAGCGTGGTTTTTCTCCATAGGTCCTCAGTGTTTCTCTCGCGTACAAGCGTTCTCAAGTTGTTGGCCAAATAATATGTGCACTTCTTGACTCGCATCATCAAAACTGTTGTCGAAGGGCAGATGGTGGGGGAGGATGGAGGTTGGGAGGCCCTGGAAAATATTCCATGAGGAATGAATCCCCGGTTTATTCCCACGAACAGTCGACAAGCGCATTGATTGGAATGTCATCAGTACACTTTATTTTGGTCTTGTTGATGTACAGTTATAACGTGTATGTATCAACAGTGCTTAGCGAGTCTGTATTAGCCTCTTTCTGAAACAGTAAATAGTGCCTCGTACTTACAGAAGCAGAGCCGTACATTAAACTATGCACACAGCGCACGTGGGAGCCAAAGCATCACCCTGCCCACGTGATCAGTGGGGCATCTCTCATGTGTGTAGGTGGCCCTGAACCAGCAGTGGAACATTCCACATTCCCATGGTAGGGACCAGTCCCGCTTATAAGACAACCACTCTTGGCTTTCCACAAAGTGGTACTCACTTTATGGATTGTGTAAGAGGAGTCGATCCCTGACTGGGATTTCAACTCAGTGTTCAGTTTAGTCGGACAGATGCTCCCACAGCAATGCCATCTGGTCGGATGTGTTTCAACAGTGAGACATATAGAACAGCAATCATGATTGTTGATATGGTGTATGCTTTCTTCGGCGAAGGTTGCAAGCATGCGAATGTTTGTTCATGAACTATGAACTTTTTTTTTATTTCACCAGCTAAGGCCCGATGAATTATATAGCTCTTTTTTCATAAGGAACCTGGCCACAAATGATTGCTCAACGAAGAGGCTTATGTGGAAATGTATAGCAGCCAAATACTCGAAATGCACGTTGATCCTAAATGTGGAGGGAAAAACGGGAGGATCCAGAAAAAAAATTCACGCGACCACAGGGAGAACGTTCAAACTACAAATATACAGGCGTCAGGGTCGGGATCGAACCCACAGTCTCCTGCGTACCAGGCGAGGTAGTTAACATCTCGCCACCATGGCACCCCGGAGGGAGAGAGCCGAGAGAGCCATTCTAGAAGGCATTTTGGCCTACTCTTCCACAGTGGCAAAGTGTGTTGGAAGAGCTGGGAGTACCCACACTTTACCCCACCACATACGGCCTGCCAATAAACTGCGTCATTTTTACTGATGGGTGGAAAGAGGCGAGGGGATTTAAGAAACTTGCGGCATCATTTTGACTGCCACGTCGGAAGATCAAACCGGCGACCTCTGGATTGTCCATCATCATCATCATCCTCATCCTTCCATTGTGAGGTTAAACAGGCACCACCTCATGAAGAACGTCCCAATCAGTGAGTGGTAAGTCAACAGTGGCTGGGGCAATACCTTGGCTCTGCCACAGCAACATGGACATTGTATAACCAGCTTCGAACCAACAAGCGATGAGCACCACCCAATGCTTGGAATAGCACAAGAGGCGATTCATATCTTTTAAAAATACAAAAGTGCTTTTACAAAGCCCAGGAAGATCTTCTAAATACTACACTTACATATGTTAAATAATTTTTCATTTTAACTCGGTGATATTTCTTGATATACAAGTCATGCGCAAGTGCATTCAAAATGTTTTGTCATTTAATTCAAATATATTCGACTGTAAATGAATATCGATACATTGTGTAGACTCTACATAGCACTGCGAATGACTATGTATGAATGTTTAAACAAACACTTGGGTACACGTTATAAAAGATGCCTCCTGTACACGTTTTAAACTTAACGCTTCCCGACCTGCACGAATGCACAAAACCAGGGGATGCATTTGAGTTCAAGTCAAACGACGTATGGTTAACCCAACTCACTTGTCGACTGACACGATGCGACGAAATGTGATTGTATCTCGATACGCAACAAGCATAGGGACGGTGCGCATCTGTTGACGGCCGTTTCAAAGTAGTGTACATTAAATTCCACATTGCCAAGACGGAGAACAGTCGATATTCACAAAGGCAACACCTTGCGGACTTCCCACAAAAGTGGTTACAGTACTCACTTTATCAAAAACAAAGCGATGATGATGATGGGCTGAGTCGAAAACCAAACCGGGATTTGAACTTGCAACCTTGAGCCGATATCTCGAGCCACAATCGCCTCTCGTCAGATGCCGACTATTCTTGTTAAATCCTTTATATTAAGTTCGCTTGCTTGCTTACGACCGTGCAAATCTTTCGGTCGTTTTTTAACCCACTTCCCGTGATCCAATCGAGCTGACATTTTCCATACAGACTCGTTGTGCGTGACAATTAATGGTCGTGAAATTCTTTTTCCAAAATTTTACACTTTTTAGGACAAAAATATTATATTTAATTACCAATTGCTTAATGGTGCAATGCAATCATCTGACCCGTAGGTGGCAGCCATCTCAAGCCAGAGGACGAGAGGACTCTAGCCGCCACGCATATAAAGGATTTATAGTGAAGAACTTTGTTTTTACGGGTTATACTTGTTTGCTGTTCTCCGTGTGTCGCCGCGCTGTGACAGGGCCCACCGATTGTTGCAGAATGTGCACAGCTCCAATACAATGGCCGCCATGATAATAATTAATACATGCATTAGACAACTTAGATGAACTAAAATGACTCGAATAAAAATGATATTTCGTTTCATCTGCTGCACAGCGGACGTTGAAGATCCACCGATGGCATTCGCATGAGTGGTCTATTTTTGCCACATTAAAAAAAAATTAACCCCTCAAACTACTCAATTGAGATTATACAAAGCATTGAGCGCCTCCCGCCACCACTGGCACATTCATGGCCCAGGTTACTCTCGCAAACGGCCTCTTGATTTTCTCACCCGGTTGAACAAAATCAACTTCCCAGTAAACATAGAACGTTGGTCGAACGGTTGCAACCGCGTACTAACGTTGACCCAACGTCGGCATGGCTACTGGGTCGAAACTTGAACTTCAAGCTGTGAATGAATTAAACACAATGTGGTGAAAGAGGCCAATACTGAACGTACATTTCGGGACTCACGGACACACATGCGCACACGTACACACATGTCACTACATACACACTATAGTGCACATGTACTGAACACAACAGAGAATAGGATATTGTTTTGTACAGATGTGCTGCTTTTAAGATGGTTTTCTATTCACGTGACTTTACCGAAAAGAACCAAGAATATGGTCTTTATATATATATTGCCGTTGTGGTCACGCAACCATTGTGTTATCAAAGGCCGGATGGATTATATAGATTCATAGATTTCACACGGCGATGATTGTATTCATGACCAACGATGATGTTAATAGAGTAGTCTTAGATTGGTGGGGTGGGGGGGTTGTTAACATCAACAATCACAAAAGCTAAATTTGACACTCTTCCAAATGCATCAGTTGTTCCAAACGAGCAAACCATCCAGAACACATGGTTGTGAGCGCATTTACAAAGGCTAAATGAAAAAAAACACTGCACTCTTCCCGGTCACCCTCGTGATCACCGGTCATTCTCTATCTACTGTCGTGTGAAGAATGTCACCGCCCAACGTGATCGATCATCATCATTCTCATCATTGTCTTCCTCATCATCATCATCACTCACTTAGAGTTCCCTCGAAATCCAGAAATTAGCAAAAAAAAATCCAGCGTGAAGCTATCCACGTAATTCATTTGTACACACACGCACACACGCATCTGCATACACTCTACAGACATTCACTCTTGCTGCTGATCTGTCACCTCGTCCTTTTGCCACTGCTACTATCGCCGTCTGTTAATACAGCCACTCACTGTCGATCTGATACCGCCTTTGTCTCTCTTGCTATCACCGCTGTCACTGCCGTTGCTTTCAGGCGCTGTATTCCCCCTAATTCCACATCCGATTTCGAGCTCTCGATCACCATCTCATCCACGCTGCGTTTGTTTGACCTTCACCAGTACAACGGGACATCTCTTCTCCTCCGTCGTTGCCTCGAACAGCTCTCGTGAACGTGAAGCGCAACCTGCTCGTCACGTAACCCGGCGCTGCACATTGACCGCACTTACGCAGAGAGGTGTGGACGCTACGCACCAAGCAGCTGCGGGTGCCATCGACTAAATGAAGAGACGAACGAACCCAACGTGCAGTGAAAACGTTTGCCGTCGGTTGCTCTTCAAATGACACAGGAAAGCGAGGGGCAGCTCTGCTCTGAGACGCCCTCCTTTGAATCTCTCTTTGCAGCCTCATTTAATCTAACTCTTCCCAAGAATCTTCCCATCCTGGACTGGCACCAGGGGGCTGCTGGGGTTAGGCCCTGCACGACCTCATGTCCCTTTGGTCCCTCAAACCAAGTTCACTCTCCTTAGCGGCGAACCATTGTTATGGTGACCCCCCCCCCCCCCACACACACGACTAAAACTATACACTACTTTTTTATTTTACCAGGTAAGGCCCACTGAGCTATGTAGCTCTTTTTCAGAAGCAACCTGGCCACGAATGATAGCTCAACAAAGTGGCTTATCGTGTGGAAACTTAAAGCAGCCAAATAGGCGAGAAGCATGTTTGATAAATGTGGAGGGAAAAACCGGAGAAGAATCCACGCGGACACTGGGAGAACATGCAAACTCCAAATATACAGACATCGCGGTCTGGATCAAACCCGAGACCTCATGTATACTAGGCGAGGGAGTTAACATCTCGCCACCGCGGCACCCCAACAGCGCTACTGCCACACCCCCATCCGAGAGGAGTCGGAGCCGTGCCTGCTCCTGCTATGATGTAATATCCGTTCTCGAGCTCTATCCATTGCTATCCCCTTTGCATTGTGGGTATCCAGGTCGACTTCGAACTATATTTGAAGATGTGTTGTGGGGGCAGCACATTGTCACCTGTTCGCATTATCCATTGAAGACGACGATGATGACGGGTAGATATTTGGGGTTATTTTCAGATTTCATATTTTCAGAGACTGAGATGTTGAGGCCCAACTTTATATTTGAGTGTCATGAATACAATTCATAATTTGAGGGGAAAAATAAATGCAACATTTCATATTACAGCTATAATAATAATGGCATTCATGATGCAGTAGTTTGATACACATTTTGCATTGTAATGATGGTGCTGGTGATATCCTAGGTAAATATGAAAAAAATCAAAGTTGAACATTTGTGAATTGAATCTTGCACATTCAGTACACTCGCTGTCATGAGATTCCCATGCCCTTTGATTAACCGGCAGTGCGAGTGTGACTGGACTGAGATGTCTCCACTCCAATAACCTCAGTCAAACGCCGCCACCCAATTTCTAACCTGCACATCGGCAAACAAGACCGCATCACCACAATACTCCAACCCCTCCTTCAGCTCACGATCCAATCCCAGATCAATTTCGAACATCGCACTCACCGGCTTCAAGATCCTCCACGGACTCGCCCCTGCTCATCTTTCCCCTCCCATCTCACTCTACTCTGTCAACACTCTCTCCTACCTCTCCCCTCTCATCTCAATCTATTCCCCGAATGTTCTCTCTCCTACCTCTCCCCTCTCATCTCACTCTACTCCCCTCCACACACACTCTCCTACGTCGCCCCTCTCACCTAACTCTACTCCCTCAACGCTCTCTCTCCTACTTCTCTCCTCTCATCTCACTTTACTCCCCTGTCAATAGATATGTTGACGAGCAGCAATGAGAGGCGGGTAGATAGCTAGGTGGGAGGGCAGAAAAGAGGTAGGTCTATAAGTCAGTCTGAGTGCTGGTTAGATAGGTAGGCATGCATGCAGGTGACCATAATCTAGAGGTAGCTATAGAGAATTGTAAGGGGGTTTGATTGGTAGGATGCTATGTGGCCACACGGGAAAGGTAGGTGACACAATAATATAGGTGCGGTAGAAAGGTATGTTGCTTCGATAAGGGTGTTGATAGCGGTGTTGCTCAGAGTCTATGGGCCAGAGTATAAATTGGTGACACCTGAGGTGGCAAATATTGAATAGTTCCAATGTATGAATACAGTTAGTACAAGTTAAATGTTTGATAACCCACTCATTCGAAATGGGTCATCACACACATCACTGTTTTCGGCCACATAATGAGATTGGGACATCTAAAATGGTGCCACTTCAGGTGGTAGCAACGAGCGATATTTATTGTCTGGGCTCATGGACTAGGAGGCAAGGCATGTGAGTGGAAAGAAGACACGGTAGGCGGATAGGTTGGTGAGCAGTAAAGATACGCATGTATGCATGTAGGTCGATTTTGGAAGCGGCAGATAGGTAAAAAGAGGGGAGCAATGATTCACCTGCCTGGCGTTTTTGGTGACTCATCGCGATTTAATAATTGAAAAAAATATTCTATATTTTCCTTTTTTTGTGAATTTAGCAGCCTCTAGTGACTGCAAGGGGTCACACGAACTGAGGAACGTCCATTCTTGCATACGCAATTTGATGCCTTTGCTGTGGCTTAAGAATGAAGTGTTCTTCTCGGACGCAGAATCATACTTCGAGTAGGTGGGTGAGCAAAACAAAAATAAACTGGGAAATTGGTGGGCAGTTGTGCAACCAGCTAGACAAACAGGCAGGTAGGTAGGTACGTACGTTGAACTTCTTTCGCACCGTACGTAGCCAACCACTGTCATCGGAGGTGCGGGGGACGCATAACAAACTTAACAAAAAAAAGCAGATCTAAAGAAATTAGTTTTCAATATAGATTTAAAAGTGCATAGCTCCCAGCGTCTTCCGAATATCGAAGGTAGGTAGTTGAAATGCGTTCTCAATTTTCAGATCAATCCTAAAAGAATCGGAAAATTGATCGAGATACAACATTTGGGATGATTCGTTTCGGATTGATCCATCAAGTAGGCAATCACAAGAACTGAAACCCACTTACATTGCGTCGTGCCTGTGCTTTTCCTCACCAAAAGTGTCGTCACGTATCACGGGGTGACGTCACTTGTGCTCGCAAGAAGACGGTTTCAATAATCAGTTCATGAAAGCCTGAACAAAAGACCCTAAGTTTAGTTGGACAATCTGAAAATGTTAAATTGTTCCGTCCAAAACCTATCCCCGGTTGGTATTTACGAAAGCAGTCAGGCATACAGGCATGTAGGTAGGCAGATACGTACGTATGTTGAACTTCCTTCGCACCGTACGTAGCCAACTGCACTAATCGAAGGTGCGGTTTAAGGACAATTAAACTAAGACACAAAAAGCAGTTGTGGTCGGTGCGTGTCCAGGTAGATTTGGTGTATGGGCAGGTCGACGTGCCCCTTCATTTAAGCCAGTCCCGAGCACCATGGAGACTACGCAACTATTTTGCAACGCATTACCCTTTTCGCTTTTCTCCGGAGGAGTTTGGATTTGTTTTTTTCTTTCTTATTTCTTTGCTCATTACGGCTAATGGGCTGCTTTTGAACGCGTGGTTTGACGCCGTGAAAATCGCCAACAAGCAAACAAAACGGGGGGGAGAGGGGGGGCAGAGGAATAAATAATGCTGACCGCTGCTTAAAACGAAGAGACACCGCTGAGGCTTTACAGAATCGTTCAGTGCCTCAAGGGTTTTCAGGTAGCCCTGGAAACCACTATATGTCATGATTTCTGGTGGTGGGGGACGTAAGCAGGGCTGTGTGAAGTGATTGTACTGTCTGCGTTCCCTACAAAGTGGCAAATGTGTGCATTGTCGAGTTATTGTGATATGCAGTACGTGTTACATTTCTGCAGGTAATTTGGAAATGTAGCGTGTGCGTAGCGTGTGCACAGGGCAGGGGGAGGAGGGGAGTAGTGGCGTCGTGGTTCCAACATTGCTCCGTGATTTTGGCCGCCTCTGACCTCTGGCTGTGATCTACAAACTTGAGCTGCGGGAGGAATGTGAGCCTGGCTTGGATCTCCCATAGGTTGACTCGGCCTCAAATAAATAAAAAAGAGCATGGCGAGTGATCACGATGGCGGCCAGGCATGATGCGGTGCCACGCGACCGGCTATCTGGACTGTGCCGGTGTTGATTGGCGTTTTATAGCCCAGTTGGCTTTTTACAGACTGTGAGAATACATTGTGATCTTTTATCTTCATGATTGTGTGTGTGTAATCAGGTGGCTAAGATACAGCAAGTTGGCAAGGTTGGGACATGTCGGTGGGGTGATTAGAATGGTGATGTATTTGCGTCGCTAGTTCTGCTGCCCGTGTGGTGATGCGTCGTCGATACAGGACGCTGCGGCTTGGACAGGTCTCATCAGTTAAGCAGGTTGGAGCCTCGTTGGTCCGTGGACTGGTGGCCACGAGGGCTTGCCAGGTGCCCTGGGTGTGGGGGCGGCGAGACATAGCCAGCAAATTGCAAGTGCCGATTCTCACACTCGCTCAAGAAACGCGGTGGATTTTCTGCGGGTTCTCCGGTTTCCTCCGCATGACACCAAACTCTCATTAATGACACTGGTCAAACATGCCGAGATAGCAACCTCCCAAAAAACGGGCCTTGACACTCGGTGAGGCATTCATGGCTGGATAACTAAAGGGCAATTTGATCTATTACAATATGTTTTCTGTTTCAATTCAATTATCGTAGACCAGTTCAGCTGCAGGGGCTCAATATTATTATTGTATCGAGATGCCTCTCATTACACAGCATGGAAGAGAGAGAGAGAGTGCTGTTTAGCGTTAGATGAGAGAGTCCTACTGGAGTGACTCCGAAGTAGTTCTGCAGTGTCAACTTCATGAGCCGTGCCTTAACCGGAGTTCCAAAAGCGTGTTTAGTCACATCATAATATTTACTCCGATAGCACCCCGAGGGCCCAATAGGTGATGCAAGTTTGATGAGTCAGTGTCAAAGTGTCTGCCTGCGTAAGTACACGAGGAGGAGCATGGGAAGGAGATGGGGAGGAGGAGGGCTGGTCCCAGTTGGGAGCCGTGAGCCACTGGTAAAAATTCCACACCCGTTGGGACAACCAACTATCGAAGTCATTCAGAGTGACGCTGATCGTATTGAAGCTGCGGTGACGATGGGCGGAGGTGACCTGCGATCTACCAACCTGCCAATGGTGAGCCAAGTTTCCCCGACCACTGTACCAGTCGGTGTGGACACTCTTAGAGACCGTCGTTTCAACTCACTTTGTCTTTGCTTTTACTTTTTAAAATGTTACCCAGATAAGGCCCACTGAGCTACATGGCTCTTTTTCAGAAGCAATCTGGCCGCAAATGATAGCTCAACGAAGTGGCCTATCGTGTGGAAATTTGTAGCAGCCAAATGCTCTAAGCGCATGTTTCTAAATGTGGAGGGAAAAACTGAAGAACCTGGAGAAAAATCCACGCGACCACGGGGAGAGAGACATGCAAACTCCAAATATACAGCAGGCGTCAGGGTCTGGATCGAAACCACGGCCTCCTACATACCAGGCGAGGTAGTTAACATCTCGCCAACGCGGCGCTCAAACAGCAGTGCATAGACAATTGTTGCACAACAACAATGCGCGATTGTTGTGTAAGTGGCAAAGCAGTCTTTCCTAACGTGCAGTTAGTTTTCCATTACACCACTCGCCATTTTGCTCACCCAATTACTCCACAACTGAGTAATTGGCACATAAAAAAAACAACTTTGAATAAAAAAGTCAATTTGGCCGTTTAAGTTTCCACAATGAACGTGTAAACGTAACAACAATTTTGACATATTGGTCCCTCGAATTGAATGTAATCAAATTAACAAGGTAATTGGGAAATTTTAGCGCTTGTTCACGCGGAATAACGCATGCTATAAGCCTGCCCAATTACTTGTCTCTTTCGAGCGATCAGTATGGTTTTTTTAAAGTGTTTTTTTTTGCTTCGCCACTGTTAACCATTGTTACATAAACCAACACAGCAGTGTGGTACACAGTGCACGACTCGTCCGGTAGCCTGGTGCACCGTAAACGCATGGCACCGTCGAGGGCACTTGTATGGCACCTGCATGAAAAGGTAAAGGTGGAGGACCCTTCAAGCACTTGCTGACTCTGCTGTTAGCGGAAAGACCCGCAACTGGGTGATCGAACGGTCGACATCTGGATTGGCAAGTCCAGCATGCCGACGGTCTATACGTAGTGGCAGTGGTAGTAGTAGTAACAATACGTTGGCTTTATGGTGTGTGGAGGATTTGTGCAGCGAGTCGTTACCACAAGTGAAAAGCACTGCGGTAGTAGTACCCTCATTAAAATGGAATTGGCCAAGCATCGCCAATGCAAAAGGCCCTGCTGAAAAGAAGAAGAAAAAAACCCCACAAACCTCTTGGGACTCAGTAAGGCTTTCTAGGGTGAATTAAGATTTGTCGTTTATTTGTTAATTAGTCGGCTTAAGTGGATAAAAATGGGTTTGTGTGTGTGTGTTTTAATCGTCCATTGCAGGCTTTTGTTCTGTCCAACTGGGTTAAAATTCAAATGGGAAAAAGCAACTTTGCACATGAGCTGGTGATGTGAGCAATGAATTCTGGAATGGGTTTTTCTTACAAAAATGCTGCTGCACTTGGAATAAAGTAAGCTCTTTAAAGTAAAACCCTTGAAGCTGGTGGCTAAGCGAAACGTGTAACATTTTCTTTGTCAAGCCGATCTGTGAAAAGAATGTACATATTATATAACAGGCACGATCTACCCCAACAGGAAACGAATTGTGAATTGTATAATAGACATTTGAAAACATAGCAAACCTTATTTGCCAAACTTAACTCACCGCCAATCAATGATGTATTGCCACAAATGGCAATCGGTTTGTTTGTGAATTGCGGTGACTTTTTGTTGGGAAGGGATACTTTTGGAAAGTAGACTGATTACTAATTACTTGACATTCTGGAAGATATTGCAAAGACATGTAAAGCAAACGTGTCTAAGCGGCTTGCGCAATGTCAAAGTCAATTGCAAGTACAGTATGTACGTTGAAACTTCTTTCAAACCATACGTACCCAACCGTGCTAATCCGAGGCGTGGGGGACGGACAACAAGTTTCACTAATCGTCTGACAGTCTGTGAATGGGGAACGTGGGAAAAGTACCGAACGTGGCGAATGAAGAGGCTCCTGTAAAATGTGACCCCAACACCGTCCAGAGGCAGGCGGACGTTGCTGAGGAAACAGAAGTGGAATATTCAGAGGGAATGCGACCATCGTGGAGGTGAATGGGTTTGAAAGAGGAGGCGTCAGAAAAAACTCATGCACGTGTTTTCCCTCGGTCGATCGCCTACGTCAAGCTGACAATTGCAGGAGGCTGCAATTGTCACGGTGGAGGAGGTGGATGGGGAGGCCGAGACCTAGAACCTCGTTGTGCCGTCCACTTCATTGCACAATGCAGACACGTGGGCAGTGCAGGATTTAATGTATTATGTTGAACTTCTTTCGCACTGTACGTAAACAACCGTGCTCATCAGATGCGCGGGTGAAGGACAACAAACTGAAGACAAAAGGCAGTTCTAAAGAAATGAGTTGTCAATCTAGATCGAAGGAAGAGATGAGGGAGAAAAGTTGAGTCTCTGAAATGTCCGTGTTACGGGAGATATTCTGAATTTCGAGAAGAGTCGAGAGAGCATCGACATCAACAAGAAATTGGGAATAGATAGAGATGATGTAGACATCGTACAGCAGAGATGTCTCCTCTGCGCGATGTGGTCCGGACAGAGCAATGAGAGGTTCCTCGACATCTCCTCGTTTGGTAAAATCGATTGGACGAGGGGAAGGTGGACACAAGAGATCGGAGAGGACTGCGCGGAGATGGTGGCTCGCACTCGCAGAGATACTCAAGACTCGCCGGGGACAGGCCAGGGTGGAGTTTAAAAACAAACAAAAAATATCCTAAACTAAACTATTTAAATTTTACCAGGTCAGGCCCACTGAGCTATATAGATCTGTTTCAAAAGCGACCTGGCCACAAATGATCACTCAACAAAGTGGCTTATCACGTGGAATTCTATAGCAGCAGCCAAAAAACCATGAATGCGTGGTGATGTTGATTCTAAATGTGGAGGGGGAAATTGGTAGGACCCGGAGAAAAATCCACGCGACCACGGGGAGAACATGCAAACTCCAAATATACGGGCGTCAGGGTCGGGATCGAACCCACGACCTCCTGTATACCAGGCGAGGTAGTTAACATCTCGCCACCGTGGCACTCCCCCCTACCCCCCACAGTCCGTCCACAGTCCGTTCACAGTCTGGCTGTGGATGGGCTGCCAGAGCACGCAAATCCTTCGGTGTCACCTTAGGCATTAAGTGAAGTAAACGTAATCTCGTCGGATTTCTGGATCGCTTGTCTGATTATAATTAATTATTATGTTGTATTCATCTCAGGCTAATCTGACTTTAGTTATCGCAGCACTACAACTGCAGGCTACGTAGACAGGTACATATGTAACGGCCCTCTTGAGCCCCCTCCCACACCGCGTTGTGCCACGGTGGTTATTTGACCGCATTTCGCCACGCTGGCCAGCGCGTGGTTGGCGAATGTGGTGAGCGATAGCCATGGCAAGCTTACAAGTGCAGACCAAATACACGCCAATGGATGTTGCTGCATTGCCACCTACAGACCAGCGCAGAGCCCCAGGGCCCTGGGATAACCTGTGCGTGCACTGTTTGGGCTCAACCCTGTTGAGGCTACTGAAAACTGACGAGGTCGCGGGTATTCCAAGTCTCTGTGTCGTGATCGGCACTTATCGGCTGCTGCTGCTGCTACAGCTGCTGTCCCTTGCACGAACCCCGGGCTGCTGGCGTGATACGTTTCCCCTTTCAATAGTTTTTCCACGACATTTATCGAAGATGTAAAAATGAAAGTAATCGCGCGGACAAAGAAGTCACAGCCGTTAGCACTTGTTCACAATAACCTTGACTGCGCCCTCAAAGTATTCATCATGGGATTGCCAGTAGTATCTCCTTGCGGTAAGCTGATCGCAAGCGTCCACGTTGTTTGGAACACATCTTTCCCCCGAAAGTATAGATCCGTGGGCTTGGCCCCAAACCCATTCACCTTCATACGACGTTTTAGGCATCAGGGCTCGCAATGACCCCCAAGTTACCGTGGCTTAACCCCCCCCACCCCACCCCAAAGCCCACCACAGCCACCACCACACAATCACTTCACGCGGACCCCACGACTCGTTTCATCCAAACACATCAAGCGCCATCCCACCAACTTGTCACCCCGCGAGCAATATCATCGGTGGTAGATTCAACTCCTCACCCCCCAAACCCCCAACCACCCCACGGCCGCACGAGCCCTCGAAAAAAATCCTCAACGCCCGGGACCGCAACGACGACCCCATCGGCAAGGACGCGACCTCCCCCCACTACCCCCCACTACCCCCACTAACCCCCCCACTCACCCACTCACACCCCCCACTAACACCCACCACCCCATCGCCAAGCGCACGCAAAACCCATCGCCCCCAGGAAGCACCGACACCCGGCACGCGCCCAGCGGCTAACAGGAGGTGGACTGCGTCGGTATCGCCGATCTTGCCGACATTCGCCAATCAAATACAGGGGGGTTGTCACACGACTGCTCGGTCACAAATATCGATTGCCCATATGCGTCGATTGGCAATGGGTCGCAGCGGATCGACCTTTGTCAAGACGGCTGCCCCGGTCAACTTTGAGCCGGGTTGCCGCATGGACCGAGCCGAATCGATTGCGGTGAAAAAAACTTTGATCCACGTTTCACAGTGACCGTGTGTGTGTAAAGACTCCCCCCCCCCCCCTCCTCCTCTCCACCACCCCCCCACCCCCGTTCTGCCCCCCTCCCCGCCGACTTTCTTCCATATACGAGGGGGGGGGGGCGGGGGAGGGGGGGGGAATCTCTGATCGGTGATGTCGCCGCGTGTCCGATTTCATCGCTCTGATTCCGGCGCTACGCTCGCAGCGAGCAGCCAGCGCGCAACGGGGGTGAGTGGGGAACGGGGGCGTTTGGGGGGGTAGGGGAGTTGGGGGGGTAGGGGTGGGTGGGGGGGTTGATCGGCCGAGGCGGGCTTGAGCCGGAGAGAATCACGCTGGGCCCGCTTGCGCGTGCACGCTGAACACGACGCGACTTGAGCTGCGGGGGGGGGGGGAGTTTTCTTTGTTTTTGGACGGCTCCGATGGCGAGGTTTGCGTTGGGACAGGAGCGGTGCGGGGGGTGGTGGGTGGGGGGGCATGGGGGGTGTTCGGGCTGTAGTTCTCCCTGCCCGGCCCCCCTCCGCCGGCTCAGTCCGCGTAGATGATGAAGCCTGAAAAGGTGGAGTACTTGTTGGTGTTGCCCCCGTGCGCCTTGCCGCCGTCCAGCTTCACGTAGACCTCGTCGCCCGCGTCCAGGTGCAGGATCACCGAGTTGCTGGCGTAGTCGTAGTTCTGGTCAGCGTCCTGCGCGATGGAGCTCGCACGCACCTGGGGGGGGGGGGGACGCGTGGAGTGGGGGGGGGGCACACGTGGGGAGTGGGGAGGCACACACGGGGGGTGGGGGGGGGCACACAGGCGGGGGGTGGGGGGGGCACACACGTGGGGTGGGGGGACACACGCGGGGGGTGGGGGGGGGGCACACAGGCGGGGGGTGGGGGGACACACGTGGGGGGTGGGAGGGGCACACGCGGGGGGTGGGGGGGGACGCGTGGAGTGGGGTGGGGGGGCACACGCGAGGGGTGGGGGGACACACGTGGGGGGTGGGGGGGCACACACACGTGGGGGGTGGGGGGGGCACACAGGCGGGGGATGGGGGGACACGCGGGGGGTGGGATGAGGACACACTCGTGGGGGGTGGGGGGGGGCACACAGGCGGGGGGTGGGGGGACACGCGGGGGGTGGGATGAGGACACACTCGTGGGGGGTGGGGGGGCACACACGTGGGGGGTAGGGGGACAGACACGCGGGGGGTGGGGGACATTTGGGGGGTGGGTACACGCAATGGACACGGCCAATGAACGTCGAGCCGGGGATTTCTGCTCATTGAAGGAATCGTCAGGGTCGAGATCGAACCCACGACCTCCTGCGCACCGGGCGAGGTAGTGAACGCCTCTGGATAGCTCGGCCAATCGGGTTGCGTGAAGGAGGTTTGGGGAACAAAATGTCCCGCCGATGACAATCGACGCGTGGCCGCTACATGGGCAGTATGCGGGCGCCAGCTTGATGACATCGTAGGCATCGGCCGTGGCACACTGAGCGTGCCTGCTCGGTGTTTTCCCACAGGATGTGGGGGTTAGTGGTGGGGAACCATTTTAAAATGGGTTCGTGTAATCGAAGGCAAAATGTAATCAACAAAAACATTGGAATTATTGGCCTCGATAACCAATGGTCCGAACTGTACGATAAAAAAACGAGCACAGAAAGTTACGCATTGTAATCCATTAACGTTACGTCCATGTTAACGATTGGAATTCGTGCCAACTTTGTGAAATCTACACACGGTCACGCACCAAACAAGATATGTAACTATAACTCTGTGCCCAACTGCTGTCTCTCTGTATCCTTTAAGACGATAGCGACCACTCACAGGAATACCTGACCGAGGCCTGTGGTCAGTGTTCACGTTTTCTTAAAGGAAGGCCCTGAACTCAGTGTGATGTAAGCACACGTTGCTTTCATCCGAACCACCCTCACATCGTATGAGTAGTGCTCGTATCCACCCCCCGCCACCCACGAATAACACGACACTGGGAAAGGCAACAGTGGTCGCCCAATGAAGAGTTTGGAATCCACCACAGAGCTGTCATCCACCCCGCAGTTCTCATCCACCCAGAGCTCTCATCCACCCAGAGTTCCCATCCACCCAGAGTTCTCATCCACCCAGAGTTCCCATCCACCCAGAGCTCTCATCCACCCAGAGCTCCCATCCACCCAGAGATCTCATCCACCCAGAGTTCCCATCCACCCAGAGTTCCTATCCACCCAGAGTTCCCATCCACCCAGAGCTCCCATCCACCCAGAGCCGTCATCCACCCAGAGCCCTCATCCACCCAGAGCCCTCATCCACCCAGAGTTCTCATCCACCAACTTGAGGCCGTCGAGAGAGATGAGCGAGCGCCCAGCGCTGCTCGTTCGCAGTGCGGACAACGCTCTCTGGACTCGAAGAAGCTCAATATGCTTCTACATCGCAATCACGGAGCCTGCGGTCAATATTTCATTACTCGTTGATTTCTTTTTCCCTGCCGAGTTTTTATTGTCTATTTGTACGAACAGCGTTCGTCCTCTCGCATGGAGCTCCCTCATTACCCACAGCGAAGTGATCACATTGATACGGGCACACGCACACACATATATATAGAGCAGAGAGAAACTTTCACTTATGCAACCACCAAAACCTTCACAGCTTTAATTAGCCTATTAAGTTACTGCTACGAGGAGAGAACAATTTTCACATTTAAAGCAGTGTTGCTGCTGCTGCCTCTAGTTATAATTACAAGATAATGACCCACCTTCATATCTTGCCACACTGCTTGTCTATAAACCCCAGGGGTATTTTCCCATTTGGCAGCAGTTTTGTCTGGCTCATAGCTTGGCGGTGTATTTAGTTTGCACATTATTTTTCATTGTACCTCGGGTTGCTGCTTTCTACTTCACCGTTGCACAGAATATGGGGAACGCGACTGAGAATTGTAGAGGTACGAAAGATTTCCCCGTGGCACCTCGGTCACGGTTGCTTTGAGCATGCTTCGCCACATTTGGTCGGTGCAAATTTGCGAAGGAGGGCTCCAGATTGGTTCAGAAACCACTCGCCACGGGCATATTTTGTGATCGGGAATAGAGCAGTGCACTTGCCACCACCGAACACCCAGAATTATACAATTGTAGCACTGCACGATGAGCCGAATGACAGTTTTAACATGTAGGCTTAACACGTAGGCATTTTGCGACCAATATTGTTTGTAGTTAAGTATTTTTAGGCAGCCATGGGTGATGTCAGTCAGGGGCAGACTGGCAGCAGTGTCAATGTGTACGTTTGTGTTATTTTATAACCAATATGGCTAAGGAGTTTTTGTTGTTTGTGCTTTGGCAATCTAGGAATTGTTGCCATCCACGCATGCTGTCTCTGAGCAGTCTTTACGGCCGTATTTCATCTTTACTCGTAAAAAAAATACATCCAGATCTCAGTCAACTTCCTTTGGATCTTCATTTAGCATTATCATCAAAACCTTCAGTTATCATTACCACCATTTAAAATCATATTTTATCATTATTTGTGATTATTTATTTTACGTATGTATAAGGCGCAACGGACCCCCACAACGGGCTGCAGAGCGCTGTACAGGAATTTTTTTTATAGTAATCATAAAATAAACTATCTCTAGTTTATCTAAAATAGCATTGGGAATAAGTAGAGTTTTAGAATATCAGTGGTCAGGCGCAGTTCTTCAGGCAGAGCATTCAAAATCTGAGGGCCAAGGACTGAAAAAGCCTGAGCTCCGAAACGTTTTTTTGCCAAAAGCGTGACTGACGCAGGAGGATGGTGTGTGACGACCTCAAACTCCATCATCATCAGCATCATCATTATTATACGAACATTTGTTACACATAGAGCAAAGCCGTCTTTGGCTTCGCGACACGTGCTACACCTTGGCGGAGGGTGCAGTAACTGTCACACACACACGTGTTAGCCTGTGCGTGTTCATGTACGAGACAATTCCAGTTGCCAATTGGTCGGCTGCATCAGCTGTTGGGGCGAGCGTGATGATGTCAACATGCACAGCTCTCTTCTCCCCAACCCTCCCCTCGACCACTGATTAGCTGCGGAAATGTGTGTACATCTGAGGCGCCACCAAATTCCGCGTGGCAAATCGGGCCCAATTTTGTTTTTAAAACGTTCCGCTGGAAATCCGCAAATAAAGTGTGGAAAACAAACTCCACGTGAATGGGGCCCGCATTGACTCTCCGCTCAAACGAGAGTGTGGTGGCCGCCATCTCCATCGCTGGCCTTGAGCCAATGGTGGTAATTTTGTATTACTTTGGCAAAGGCTGGTCTCTCTTTGTAAGACAATTACTGTTGGATTACCCCAAAGTGGCATTGATTGTATCGATCGCAGAGGAATAACGGTCTATGTTGGGGATTTTTGACGTGCCACGTGCCCGTTGTGAGTCGAGCACCTTCCCGGCGATGCTGCGCTGCCATCAATCATTAATCCCTTAACACCATACACAGGAGTATATTTGCACAATAAGTAAAAAAAAAGTGCTACCAGGCATCACGTATAAATCTATCCTGACGGCAACATCGCTAAGCACTCGACTGACGATTGGAAAGTTACGGTTCGTCATAGATTTTTGGGTCAGATCGCATCAGTGAAATGTATGCTGTAATCCCATCACCACCTGACACAGCCAAAGACTAAAGTTGTCACGTGAACAAACGTGCCGATGTATATTATTACTGCTTCACCACACTGGTGTGTTGGAGAGCCATCTCACAATCGTCACCAAATAGGTACGAAGGTTCGCTAGATAGTCACAACCAACAATATCAGTCTGCTGCCAGGATTGTTCACGTGACAACTTTTTCACTCGGCTTTGTCGGGTGGAGGAGGGTTTAGAACACACATCTTACTTCTGCGACTTGACCCAAGAAATCAATCATGAATCATACTATTTGTCACGAAAGCCGATGTGGAAAGATAAGGGTTGAAATTCCGGTCAGAGGTCAACTCAGCCCATCATGCTCCCAGGGCCATAAAATCAGAACCAATTTGTAAGAAGCCTAAAGTAGTCATCCTATATTTGGGCCCCCTCGATAGAAATATGGAATTTCCATCACTTGTCTTGCGATGGATGTGCGGCACGCCCCTTGCTCGTTTGAGAGCGCACACACTATCGCTGTACTTAAGCACTGCACAGCACACCATGTATGTATGTATGCTGAACTTCTTTCACACCGTACGTAGACAACCCTGCTTATCGGAGGCGTGGAGGAAGGACAACACACTAAACACTAAAATTAGTTCGAAAGAAATGAGTTTTCAATTTAGATTTAAAGGTTCACAGCTCCAGTGGCTTCCTAATATCGGAAGGAAGAGCGTTCCAGACGGCCGCAGAAGCGCATCTGAAAGCACGCGATGCATTGAGCGTTGTGTCAGCTCCTCCGAGACAACAATGTAAATGCATTAGCGTACCGCGCTAATGGATTGCAAGTTAAGCACTTCATTAGCTGCATTCGTTACGTGTTAATTTCCACCCCGGCGGACAATCCCCTAAATCTTGCCATATGGATTGTGTCTGACCGCTAGATTACATGGGACAATAAGTTCTTCGGGTGAGAACGCGACGAGAAAGTATTTGCCTTATGAGCTTTCCACATGCGCATACGATAGCAGAGTGCGTGCGTGTGCATGTGCTCATATGTAACACGTAGGCTTTCGCGACCAATGTTATTCATAATCAACGTTTTTGGGTTTAGATCGCGTTATTTATAAATGTGTCGTAACCCTCCACCACCCGACACGGCCAATCAGTAAAAAAGTGTCACGTTGACAAAAGACAAATAGTCCACTGCTTTAGCCCACCGGTGTGTTGAAGCCACAACATTTACAATTTGAGTACGACGTTTCGCTGGTAATTGCATCCAGCATCATCGGGCAATTCGCCAGATATGTGTGTCTGTTAAAGGCTTTGTTTTTGTATGTGTCGGGAATGGTGACAATGTTTAACATACCCGCGCGATGGACTTGATGACTTCAATTTCATTCACATCGATAGCGAACATCGGTGGCAAGTGGTAACAAAACTTGTCCTGACCCTTTCTTAGGTCGACTCAGCCCCATGCTGCCCTGCTTAGATGCTCACTAACAGGGCTTGCCACAACACTCTATATATCATTGTGTGCATGTTTGTGATGTGGATGTGACAATGGGGAGCGGTCGGGTAGCGGCTAGCGCACTGCACTACAAACCTGGCAACCCGAGTTCGATTCCTGCTCGCTGCCAACGCCAGTAACAATTATCCGAACCAGACTTGGTTCTCCCCCCTTGGTCGACTCAAATGCGTACCTGGTGGGGTGTCCAAACATCGCCACTGGGGAGGCGACCGTGCATAGTGTGGGCCACCCATCCCCTCGTGCGCCGTGCCGGCCTTCATAGGTGCTCACTAACAGCAACTTGCCCCAACAGTCTGTTGAGGCTACACGGGGGATCTTTGTCTTTGTGTGTGTGTGTGACTGTGTGTGTTGGGTGCTTATGGGGAGCGGTAGTGTAGCGGTTAGCGCGCTGCGCTATGAACCTTGCGACCCGGGTTCGATTCCCGCTCACGGCTAACACCAGTGACGATTATCTGAACCGGTCCTGGGACTCCCCTAGGTCGACTCAGCCTTAAACGAGTTGTAAACATCGCCACTGGGGAGACAAAGGCGGCCGGGCGTGGTGCTGGCCACCCACTCCCTCGCCCTCGTTCGTGTACCGTTCCGGCCTTCATAGGTGCTCACTAACAGCACTTGCCCCTACAGTCTGTTAAGGCGGGGGATCTTTATCTTTGTTGGGTGCTTATCTCTGTCGGCAGCACTGAGCCAGTTGTGGAAATTCCACATTCCCAGCGTGGGGGCCAGGCTGTACATCGCATGACCGCTGTTGAAATTCCCAGTAAGTGGTATTCATTTTATTAACCCTAGACTGGATGTCATTGCACGTGTGATCTTTTGATTGTCGCGTGTGTATGTGTGTGTGTTTTTTTATGCATGTGCATATCCTATGTCTGTGTGGAGCGACTTGTTGCGTAGTCGCTAACAAACGATTGAAATAATTTTGAGCCGAAGTTAATCCCAGGCCATGTGGAAGGTGATATCTGCAACCAATTTTGCTTGACACCCCATTTTTATTGGCTCTAGAAGTTGACACTGCAGAACTACTTCTGGAGTCGCATCAACAAGGCATTGCTCACACAACGCTATGGACAAAGCTATGGACAGCGCTCCCTCCATGCTCTGCTACAAGTGCTTTGCTGCATGCCAGTCGTGTAATAAAAATTAGAAACATTTTGCCGGAGCTTGTTTAGCTCAAGGAACGTGAAGAAGAGGGTAATCAGTCCGTTTATTTGGGTAAGCCCCATTGAGAAAAGATATCCTTCTCCGTGTCTGAGTTAAAACACCGTAGCAGCACTCCTGAGGTTCATGGGTTTGTACCCAGGTGTCGAGCCACTCGAGATCAAACCAGAGTCTCAAATGCAACGCTTTGGCACCCACGTGTCTTGTCACCGGTAACTCTCAGCGAAATATTTAGCTCGATTTTTGCAACAAATTTTTCTATATTCGAGATCTGTTCTGAATGTTACAGCTGTAGAATCTTGCCACGTGACAGAAACTCTTTAACAGGGCTGTTCAAAATCCTGACACCCAGTGTGGATGAGAGATCTCTTGAAACGACTCCAAAAATACTTTCGTGACATCTTTATGCGCACCATTCCATGACATGATATAAGATGCTCCGCACGCCCAAGTTTATTTATCTCATCACAAGATGCCGATGCCGAAAACAATTGAGAATAATGAGCTAAGACTTAGCCCTCTATCTCTGAAACGTCGTTAACATCTTAGAAGCCGTCGTGATTCCACTGTTGGATGAAGGCCACCCCACACTCCGTTGATCAAGGGGGTTATTTGACAATATTTCTCCATGCTGTCGAGTGCAGGTTAGTGAAGGGTTCCTGTATAACTTGCCACTAATGTCCACTCTGGCCAGCAAACAAACTCAGGTTGTCTGGGTCCATAGCCCAGTTGCACTAACCACTACATCGATGCTGCAATCCTTGGTGGATTTATGAAACGGGAATCACTGCGTAACATCGACAGAGGTCATTCTATGGATAAACTGGCCCCTGTCGTGGGAATATGAAGACACCTTGATGTTGACTCGTAAATATTTCCAGTCTAGTGGCATGGTGGCAGGTGCCTATACTCGATGTTGTGGCGAGTAGGAAGTTAATAATAAAATCAATAACCAACATAATTACCGCAAAGGGTGTTTTTGTAGTTGTGCTGTATGGCTCTCTGATGTACTTCCTGATTGTTGTTCGGCACGATATGCGACGTTTATCTCCACGTGCTAGGAGCTTCTTCATTCACAATCTGGTATGAAACGTCGGATGTCAATGTGCAGTTCAACGTGAAAATACATCGGAGAACCAAAACACAAGCCCTTCCTAAAGTAAGATTATTCCGCTTGGTGTCACTTTCGGCAGAGAAAACTATTGAAAAATTACAAATTCAAAGCTTGATTGACGGTCAACCCAGCCCATAATTAACCCTGTCAGGGGCAATACATATGAGTGCAAGTTTTGCAGCACAAGTCAACATCGATTATAATTGTACAGAGTTACCGGACCCAGCAATAACAACGTTGAACATTCACCAGGGCAACCTGCTCTGTGCCCATTTGAGAAGGAGAAAACTTAGCGATTTCTAACTTTTGACCCTGCTTAGGCTTGTCGGCTGCAGGGCCTGCGTTCTAACCATTACGTTCGGTGGTGGCACAAATATAAATGCTATAGGGGGGGGGGGGGGCGGGGGGGGACAGGAATAACAGGGCATGGGGTGAGATTGTCAAAGTATTTTTTTTATTTTACCAGGTAAGGCCCACTGAGCTATATAGCTACTTTTCAGAAGCGACCTGGCCACAAATGATCACTCAACGCAGTGGCTTATCACGTGACAATCTATAGCAGCGAAATACTCGAAACGCATGTTAATTCTAAATGTGGAGGGACAAGCTGGAGGACCCAGAGGAAAACCCGCGCGATCACGGGGAGAGAGACATGCAAACTCCAAATATGCAGGCGTCAGGGTTGGGATCGAACCCACGACCTCCTGTAAACCCGGCGAGGTAGTTAACATCTGGCCACCGTGGCATCCTATGGGACAACTTGCCCATATGATAAAATTGTAAAAAATGCTAAAAGCACGCCAACCCCACCTTGGAATCGAATCTGGGACCATGTACTTCAATAAAGGGCACCTAACCCCATCACACTATGGTAGCACTGGCCACTAATGGCTTCTTTCACCATATTTTACATTTACAGCACTGCATAGTAGAGTACAATCTCAACAGCTATTTTTTTTTGCTGCTGCTGATGCTGCTGAGCGATCAGATCAAGGGGAGCGTGTTCGGAACTGGAATTGGATTTGAGTCACGATGGGCCACTGGCGTGATTTGGGTCCTGCAAGACCTGGCGCCACGCATCCTTGAACGCGTGGCCCTGAACCGCCTGCGAGCTGACATCACGGCACTGGCGGGCGCGAGAAGGTCGCCGCTGCGCCTTCCCGATCTCCCGTGACCATCGCGCGCCGACCGCTTGTGAGCGCGTGCACAATAAAAATACCTGCCCGTTCTTGCAAAGGTCGGCCCACATGCTGGTGCCGTCGCCTCCCCGCATGAGCACGTGGTAGGTGAAGAAGTACGTCCCCGAGATGGAGCACGTGAACTTGCCGCTGCCCGGGTCGTAGTGGTTGCCCAGGTTGGTGACGACGTCGTCGAAGTGCAGCACCTCGTAGCCCTCGTGCGGGTTGCGCAGCCCCGCGTAGAACGCGATCTTGGGCGCCGAGTAGTAGGTGGGCACGCTGACCGCGCCGCCCGCCCCCTGGCTCGACCCGGCGCCCCCCAGCGCGTGGCCCGGGATGCCGGGCCTCCCGGCGTCCCCCTTCTCGCCCTGGGGTCCCCGGGCACCCGGGGGACCCGGCTCTCCGGGCGGACCCCGGGGGCCCGGCCGCCCCAAGCGTCCCAGTTCCCCCTTGTGTCCCTGCGACAGCTGCATGGTGGTGGGCGGGGTGAAGGACGACGAGGACGAGGAGGAGGCGGCGGCGGCGGCGGCAGCGCCCGAGGAGTCGGCCGAACCGTCGGCGTTGTCGCGTCCGTGCAGGTAGGGGTCGCACACCATGCGGCAGGTGCCCAGCATCTCGTGCGTGACGGCGGCGTGCTTGGAGTAGACGAGCACGGGGATGGCGATGAGCAGCACCAGCACCATCACCACGCCCACGGCCGCGGTCACCAGCCACTTGCGCCGCAGGTTCACGAAGACGGGACGCGTGCCGCCGCTGGTGGTCTTCGTCGTGGGCACCGGGGTGGTGCTCTTAGCCTTGGCGGAGTGATGGAGGGATGATGGACGGAGAGATGGGTGGATGGATTGATGTGATAGGTGGGTGGATGTATGGATGGGCGGGTTGATGGATGGATGGACGAACGGTTGACGGAAGGGTAGGATTGATGGATAGGTGGGCGGATGAATGGACATATAGATGGGTGAGCGGGTTAATGGATGGATGGAGGGTTTATGTATGGGTGGTGAGTGGATGAATGGACAGATTTATGGGTGGGTGAGTTGATTGGTGGATGGACAGGTGTATATTCGGATGAATAGATGGATGTGTTGACATGTGGGTGAACAGATCGATATAAGTGTGGGTGAGTGTACAGATGGTTGGATGGATGGACACGTGGATGAACAGATGGGTGGACAGACAGATGAGTGGGTGAACAGAATAATTGTCAGATGCATGGACAGGCCGACAAATAGATGAATGGATGGCAAGTGGGTAGATGGATGAGAGGAATAGAAGGGAGGCAGGCAGGAGGGCAGTTCGAGAGACAGACATAAACGTATGCACACCATTGAACAGATTGTTGAATAGCCAACTTTCACATATAATCTCAATGTAATTCCATTGCACCAATATACACTACGGACGAGCCACCATGGTGTAATGGGCGACACACTGGATTTGCAATTCGGAGGTTTAGGCGTGATTTATTTTATACCTACGTGACTTTACCGACAGTCACGAAAACTTCAAATCTAGATTGAACCGCCTCTACGGGGAGGGTTTCCACACATCTGTTAGAGCTGTAGTTGTCCCACCTGATGACGGACGCGTGTGTTGCGCCCGAAACATCGTGATTTATTTTATACCTACGTGACTTTACCGACAGAACCAAAGAGTAGGTTTAGGCAGTTGAAAAAGACGGTGCAAGTTTCTTAAACCCCCCACCTCTCTCCACCCAGCAGTATTCTGTAAATGGGTGACCCACATTTAGTCGACATGTCACAAATGGTGGGGTAAAGTGTGGGTACTCACACCTCTTCCAACATGTCTCTACGCATGTATGTTGAACTTCTTTCGCGCCGTACATAGCCAACGGTGCTCAATGGAGGTGCATAACATATCTGGTCGGCGCAGGAAGAGTAGACCAATCGCCACTATGGCGATCGCTCTCGTGAAGGCCCTGCTGCCAGCAGTGGCATGAACACGCAATTGTTGGGGCCGCACCCTATATACAATAATAACATTATTCATTTCGATGTATGGCTTTCGTGACTGCATCTTCTTGGTTCTTTCGGTAAAGTCACGTAGAAGGGAAATAATAAAATAATAAAAATAAACATTATTTTATTATTTCCCTTCTACGTGACTTTACCGAATTAACCAAGAAATGAGCATTATTCATTGTTACGGTAATAGACATTGGAATGCAGGTGGAAGACCACCTGTGAACGGTGAACCACTACTCGAGTTGGCCACGTTCGAGAGCCCGAGCGCAGAATGTGGCTCCTGAATCGTGTTTCAAATCTCTACGTTGGAAGTGGAGGACACTGGAGCAGATCCGGAGCCTAAAGCCCGAACTGGAGCCCTGGATCTGGATCCAGTAATTTTCTACCTTCGCTACCACACAGGACAATCCTGGCTGCTTCACCTCGCCCTGAATGTTGGTGCAATCCGCCTGTTTCTGCTGTCGCCACCTCTCCCCACGTTCCCATCAACTGGAACTGGAGCTGAGCTTACCGGAGCTAGAGCCAGAGTGGCACCGCGGAGATATTAATTGCCTCACCGGGTATTCAGGAGATCGTGGGTTTGATCTAGACCCTGACGCCTGCATATTTGGAGTTTGCATGTCTCTCTCCGCATGGTTACGTGGATTTTTCTTCGGGTCTTCCAGTTTTTCCCTCCACATTTAGAATCAACATGCGTTTAGAATATTTGGCTGCTGTACATTTCCACGTGATAAGCCACTTTGTTGAGCTATCATTTGTGGATAGGTCGCTTCTGAAAAAGAGCAATATAGCTCAGTGGGCCTTACCTGGTAAAATAAATATAGTTTAGTTTTCATATCTTAGTTTTCATATTATAGTTTAGAACCTGCCAACCATGCCCCACGTGCTGAAAGTAACATTGAGTGAGCAGTTACACAATTGCTCAAGTTGCGCATTTGGTTTAAACGCCAGACTCACGAACGCTCGGTACCTCGCATAAATAGCCACGCAGAAGGCGCCCTGAGCTATAAATAGAGCCCTGAGTTGATGCAGTTTGATGTGTCAAGTTGTGTGTATGGCTAAACGGGAGCTCTTTGTCCTTGCATGCGAGTGATATGTATCTGGGGTGCGGTAGTGTAGCGATTAGCGCACTACACTACTAACCTCTAATTCAATTCCTGGCCACAAATGAGTACCTGGTGCGGTGTGTAAACATCGTCACTGGAGAGACAAAGGCAGTCGGGCGTGGTGTTGACCACTCATTGCCTTGTACGCCATGCCGGCCTTCATAGGTGCTCGCTAACAGCACTTGCCCCAACAGTCTGTTAATGCTATTCGTGCGTGATTGTGTGTCCATGTGCATTATTTCTGAGGTTTGTACCCTTTGATACAATCCCGGAGAGGCTGGGTTCGATTCCTGACCATAGTTAACACCAGCGGCAAGTTATATTTTAACCCATCACAGGGCCTCCCCTAGGTCTACTCAGCCTTAAATAGCTGGCGTCGTGTGCGTATATTGCCACCACGGAAATAAAGGGGGCCTGGCGTGGTTCTGGGCACACCACCCCTTAAAATAAACACCCTGCTGGCTTTAATAGGCGTTCGCTATTAGCACTTTTGCCAAACAGGTTAAAGGTCATAAGGGGGTGTTTTGTCTTTTTTGCATGTTTATGCATATTAGCATAACCGTGTTAGTGTGTTGCATTGATGCATATATAAATCTACGCTTGTAAGTTAGTGATCTGACTAAGCGTGCGTATGTTGTTGTGTGTTGTCTTCGTGTGCATGAGTACATACGTGTCTGTGTGTGATTGTATTATGTGACTTTACGAGTACCTGTGTGCGTGTTAGCATATATGTACGATCACAAATCGCTCTTTAATTCCATATAAAAGTAACTTGCAGCGCCACACCTATTACCATCATTAGGGGTAAGAACGGTGATCCAATCTCTGACCCTCAGGAACAGGTTTTCAGATTTGCAGAGCATTTCTGTGAGGTCCTGGGGGAAGGGAAATCCCTCAGCCTTGAAAACATCATAGGGCAAAGTGTAAATTACTCTGCTGAGGCTGCTGTGCCTCAAATATGGGAGGAAGAAGTTACCCCCTGTGAGTGGCTGGCTGAGGTGCCATCTGTTCAGGAAGTACTGAAGGCGATCCAGAGTCTGAGACAAGGAAAGGCACCGGGCAGAGATGATCTCCCAAGCGAAATGCTAAGGGAGAGTGGCGTTTGTGCACAGACTGCCCTACATGACATCATAACAACAGTGTGGACCACTGGACGGGTTCCGCAGGATTGGAGGGATGCTCTGGCAATCCCTCTCTTTAAGAAGAGGGACCGCACAGACTGTAGCAACTACAGGGGCATCTCACTCCTCAGTGTGCCGGGAAAGGTCCTGGCAAGGATTATTCAACATTGCCTTGTCAGGCACGCTGAGGAGAGGCTTGTGGAGCCCTAATTAGGTTTCAGGAAACGGCGGTCCTGCGCATATGCCTTATTTTCTGTCCGTCTGCTACATCAGAGGTGGAGCGAATTCCAACAAGACCTACATCTCTGCTTTATTGACCTGATCAAGGTCTATGATACCATCAGTAGGACTGGGCTCTGGGTTGTTCTTCGTGCTTTCGGAGTCCCTGACTCTTTGCTCACGAGCATTCAGGACCTACATGGTGGTGAGCGGGCCCGGGTAAAACTACGTGGCCGATAGTCGAAGGCATTCCATGTTCACCTTGGGGTGCGACAGGGATGTTCGCTGGCTCCCACATTATTCAACATCTATTTCGACCACGTAGTTCATGAAGCCTTCGATTACTGCACCGGAATAATTTCCATCTGGTACAGATACAATGGGAGGCTGATTGATGCCCAGGTGCGGTCAAGGGATGGCTCCCCATTGGTCAACCATGTTATGTATGCCGATGATCTGGTAGGTGGAGGTGCTGCTGCTGAACCTGGAGCGTGCCACTAAGAGGTGGGGCCTTACCATCAGCCCCACCAAAACTAGGCACCTGCCTGGATATTTTGTACCATCGGACACTCCACCCCCAAAACTCCCAATTAGTGATGGGGCAGTTGTGGAGAGAGTGGAGAGTTTCCCATACCTGGGCAGTGTGCTCATGAGCGGCTACAGTTTGACAGCAGAGGTCTCACTCCAAATCAGTCAAGTGGCATTATCTTATCATCGGTTGCGTAACGCTGTGTGAAAGCTACCTGGTCTGTCGCTCCACACAAAGCTTCAGGTCTTCTCGGCCACAGTCATGCCCTCCCTTCACTATGCTTGCGAAACGTGGACCCCCTGAATGGAACATCTTCGCCAGTTAGAAACATAGGCTGGCCTGCCTATGATCCATCCTGGGTTTAAACAGGCTGGATTGTGTGGAGTGCTCACATATCCTTGAAAGATCTGGACAAAGTCCCATCGGTGAGCTCCTCCAGCATGCAAGGCTGCGTTGGCTGGGTCATGTAGCCCGCATGCTAAACGGGTGCGGCACGGGCTGGAGAAGAGATGGAGTGATGTGGTACAGGAGGATATGGAGCTGAGTGGACTTGCCGATGACTGGTACCAGCGGTGTCAAGATCGGCCTCAGTGGAGGAGGCTTGTGAAGGACGCTACTAGGCAGTTGGAGGCAGTCGCCCTCCAACAACAACGGAGGGCGGAGGAGCGATGCCCACAACAAAGAGTGGAGTGCTGAGTGGCTACAGCACAGCAAGTTGGCACAGTAGGGGGCACAGGTTACGCATCGGCCACTCATCTCAGTCAGTCGACCCGTGGCACCTTGGTCTGCCTCGTGACCTCCTGCCAATGAGCGTCCAACACTTCCCGTGGATTTAACATGCACATAACCTGGCACAAGCGCCGTGGTGACGTCACCGCCACTTAGTAGCGAATGGCGGTTGTTGTTGTTGTTTGTACGACTCCGCCTCAACTAATTACCTGTTGCGGTGTGTAAACATCAGCACTGGGGAAACAAAAGCGGCCGGGCGTGGTGTTGACCACACACCCCCTCGTGTGCCGTGCCGGCCTTCATAGGTGCTCGCTAACAGCACTTTGCCCCAACTGTATGTTCAGGATATACAGGGGATGTTCGTCTTTGTCAATCAAAGAGCCCGAGCCATCAGTGTCATTGCCATATTCCCGTTGCTCCACAGTCACCACCCCTATTGACATCCCACAAATTAGTAGACATTTTATCGACCCCAGGGAATAAGGTTTATTGACTCGGGTCAATTCAACTGGGAATTGAACTGGCAACCTTCCAGTTGTAAATCATAATCTCGTACACGGTCCCACCCAGCGCAATTTAAACATAGTAATGACTCACAGACACTACTTACCAAGGAGCAGCAACAGCAGGAATCAAACCATGACCTTCGTTACAAAGTGGCTCGGACCAAAGGACATGGTTATGACAGGATAAGCAATGGGTGCCATGGGACATATACATTCTAACCCAACCCCCCAACCTCTCCCCATCCTTCCATCGACCTAACCGTTTTTTTTTCTCGTAATTACCACTTCGATGTTGTATGTTCAACAAGGTTAGCAACGCGTGCATTGTAAAAAAAAGGCCCTGCCAATTAGCGGAGTTGTACACGGCTGAAAGAAAGCAACTTTCCCTTCACTGAGATTAATTTAGTAGCAGCCTCTGCTGCTCAAGGGGCCATTGCTGCCCGATTTAACATTTGGATGAAATGAGACGAGACAGCTCGAAGTTCATGGGGGCATTTGCTCTGGATACGGGGGTCCGATGCAAAGTGACAAAACAAAATGATTGTGACGAACATTTACGTTACGTACGTGACGTGTGTATACAGAAGGTATGTGCGGTAAATTGTTTTAAATGTGTAGCGATGAATTTATTGGCATGTAGACGAGAGACGGTGAAAGTGTCTCCCTTGCTCAAATGAGCATCACATGGTGCTCATCGTCGGTCATGATCCAGTGTTTGACATTCCACATTCCTATGGCAGGGTCTTCGCTATACAAAACTATGCAGCGGTCTCGCGAGGTCATGAACCACTGTGCTAATCTCATTGGGATTATGATGCAGATTATGATCATAAATTAAGATTATGCAGAGTAACCATGTTTGACTAATCAACATACACTCGTGGCCTAACTGGTAGTGAGGTGTTCTGACCCAGAAAGCCACTGGGCCAGTGGCATTTCTACCACGGGCTGAGAGCATGGAGATCTGTTAATATTTTAAAAATCAATGTATTAATCTGACAACATTGCAAGTGCAATTGCATATCGAATGAATTACGCATCTTCTACGTATTCACTTTAGCTTACACTGTACGTACCATATATAGATGTGCCGCAGTTCGCATAAATTGCTTCAGCAGACAATTGTTTAACCGCCTGCGGCTCAATTATGACTGCTAAGGACAAGGATTCTGTCAAAAGATTATATTGTGTTGCACAAATGTGTGAGATATTGGCCTCAGAGACACCGTGATCGAAAAAGCCAAACGATTGTTTTCATTTTACTTTCACAGAGCCGATACAAAGTCGAATTGTCTCCATGCTGAAATGTACAATGGGGCATGAGTCCCCCCTTCATTGCCGACCTTGTGCTGGAAATTCCACATTCCTCTTCTCATGCGACTGGTTCTCTTTTCCGTGGGATGACCACTTGAAATCAACACGAGGCGGCGGTTTCGTTCACCGTGGAGGGAATGTTTTCTAAGTCGACCCATGGCCAGGATTTCAACATGCCGCAATTATGATTGCCGGTTGAGTGGTCTCATCAAAGAACCACCCAGGTAAGTTCTAAGGCAGCTGCAGTTCAATAAACTGTAGCAAAAAAGAATGTGTACGCACACGATCTTTTTCACACGCGTACCTTATTGGTAAGTTTGTAAGCAGTTTGTAAGCAGTAGCCACTTTGAAATGCAAAGTCAATGCCTGCCAAACTCAAATGAGCATCGGGCAATGTTCACGTCAATTGACAGCCCTGAGCCAGTGGTGTAGTTGCCAGATTGCTATGACTCCAGGATATTAATGTCTTGGTATTTTACAAGTGTGATTACAAAAGGTCAATCCTGAGTGCTTGTTGAGGCTCTATAGGAAACTCAATTTGCACACTCCAACAGGGAATTCCCTGTTGGACCAAACTGCCATGGGAATGAATCAGTACTTTGCATCTGCAGATGACGAGATACGAGTTCATTTCACATGCCACTGAGCCATATTTGTTTTCAGTGAATGGGTGCAAAGTTCCATTCCTAGCAGAGCCCTGCCAATAACATTTGGCGCTAATTACCAAAGTGCTCCATCTGCCGTAGAGTAGAAGTTGAAGATCCTGTGTGAGCAAAATGCAACATCTTAGAATTGCCTGCAATTTTTGTTTTATTTCAATCTACCCAGAGAATAGATATTTGCTATTTATTTGAAACCAGAAATCATCAATTGTCATGGTCTCTCACATGGTTTACTTGGTGGAAGGGTGGCACAGCAGTTAGCGAGCTGCCACTACGAAAGCAGCGACATCCGAACCAGTCCCCGTTCACCAACCCTCACTGACCACGGCATGGTGAAGAATGGTACAACAGTGCCTCGCGTCCGACACGCTATAGGAAGCCCTTCGTCCAGCAGTGCATTGAGAAAGGGTCGTACATTATGCCACTATTAATGCCACATTGCTGTTTTGAGCAAGAAGACACTTTGTGCTTTTGATATTTTCCAGTCCCATCAACAGCATGAGGCATTTGAGCATCACGTGGTACACATTAAGTGCTTGTGTTCCTTATAAAACTGCGGTTCCCTAGATGCCGATTCTAACAAAGAAGTCATCAATCTTGGAGATCACGTGGCTAAAGAAAGGACATTTGCTATGCGTATGGTATTACCGTACAACCCCACTTCTATAAACCGTGATATGTAATAACTCTCTGCCACTTTGCAATATTTACCAAAACACAACGCTGTGTGTAGACCCTGTAAAAAGCCTGCTTCCATATCACATAAATCGTAACAACAAAGATATGACACATCACGTCACCTGTTTAAACATAGGCAGTGTACTCTGCACAACAAGTCGAAGTGATTCGCTACTCAAACAACGCATGGGACAGGGCGGAGCACATCACCGTCAGCAACCCAGATACTGTCGTGTAGATTCCACATTCCTATGACGAGGCCAGTCTCGCACCATACGACAGGCACACTCGTATACATACATACACACACACAGAGACAAGGTCCTGTAGTGGAAATTGTAAAATTCCTCTTTTGCTGGACCAGTTTCACGCAATACGATAGGCACTCGGTTATCCCGTACGTACAGAGAGACAGACACACCACGCACGGCGCACACAGACACACACGCACGGCGCACACAGACAAACACGCACGGCGCACACAGACACACCACGCACGGCGCACACAGACACACTACGCACGGCGCACACAGACAAACACGCACGCACCTGGGCAGGCGGAGGAGCGAGTCGCGGCTGGGTGGATGGATGTCTTTGGCTGGATATTCTTTCTTTAGGCACTCCTTGCTGTGTCTGAGCCCTTTGCACTTGCTGCTGCTGCTGGGACAAGGGAGGCTGCGACCGGCCCAACATGGGGAGCAGCTTTCCTTAACAAAAAGGCCACCTTTATGAGAGAGAAAAAATGAAAGGAAGAATAAGAAGTGTGAGTGGGGATAGAGGATTGTTGTGGTGGTGGTGGGGGGCGGGATGAATGAACCCGGTAACAACGGTGCAGTGGCTCTCTGCTAGACTGGAGTGTGAGTGTGTGTGCGCGTCTCTGATAGACGCTGGTGTGGGGGTCTCCTCTTAACCCTTCACCAGCCTCGACAATTCGCCGACATCGCCACCACCACCACCACCACTGACTCCTCTGTCTGTGCGCCCACGCCTCTGCGTGTCTGTCTGTGGAGGGGCTGCGCTGGTTTTGGCACTCCGTTCTGCCTTGTTGCAAGTTTGCGTTCAGGGATTGAACTGCACGTTACCTCTGGTTGTCTCTCCGCTGCAGCTTCTTGTCGGGAGTGACTTGTCTGTGTAAGCTGTCGGTGTTGTTGTGTTTTAACGCTAGGTGTACATAATTGAATACATATAAGTAGACCCACATGCAATATATTCATGTGCCACTGTTGTGCGCTGTTAAAAGTTACGCTAGGATTTAAGAATGTTAACTCGTGCTGTTATTTTACTTGATATCTATTTAAAATATTTACGTCAACCGTGAACTTTATACTGTGTGTATATATAGTGTGAAGTTTTATTTATTTATTTCTGGTTCATAATTGTTTATTTTTTGGGGTTAGCTTGTGTTGCAAAGGCCCTCTACCACCCCACAATTGCTTTATTTGGTCTCGACAATAGCACTACACTTTTTATTTGATGTCGGGTGGTGGACTGTCGTGACGACACATATTTTGCCCAGATCATTACGTGGTCGAGCGAAAAAAATCGTCAATCAAAACCAATTATGAATCATAAAATTGACTGCGAAAACATACGTGTTAATTTCGATTTAAAGCTTTCGTGACTGCAGGGATTCATATTCTTGGTTCTTTCGGTAAAGTCACGTAGAAAGAAAATAAGAAAATACTTTTTAAAAACGCCACTTTTTTCAGATTTTCTTGCTGTGGTTTTCACACCTGATGATGATTGCTTGTGTTGCAATCAAAACGCCGTGATAATTTAATTGGTTTATTTTTATTATTTTACTATTTCCATTCTACGTGACTTTACCGAAAGAACCAAGAACATACGTGTTAATGTTTTCCATATCCACGTTTGTATTTTGTTAGAAGTGATGTTTGTCTCTTGGTTACTCCTTCACGTGTCTGTGAGTTAGGTATGTGTTACTATTATATCAGCGCGTACATATATTTCCCCATCGAAATCTATGCACAATATGTGAGAGCTAGGTAATTTATGACATCATGTTACTTACAGTGATTGAACTGCTGCAGCGGAGAACTGGGTCAAACAGAGATGGCAATTTTCAAACCGCAACTGTTATAAATCAACGGCATCTGATAAATATTCTAACGTGCAACATAAATTGAACGCACAGAGTGAAACGGTTGTAACCACAAAGCAAAAAAAACGCGATAAAATTATCACGTCAATCAAATGCAAAACAGCATTTTCGAGGAAAGCGGAGTGAAAATAAACTGCAATTGTAGGCTTGGAAATGATGAAGCATGCTGCGTGTAAGAACGACTATTCTGGACGTGTGACCCATTGATAATTGACATTTACCACAAGCGTACTGGTTCATGAAGTTTAAATGGTGTATTGTGTATTTGCTTATGTGTGTGCCTGCAAATCTCACTCCATTCCTCTGTCGGGATATGGACCGGTATTGCCTGGAGCTCTGTGGAATGCAGGAGGTCTCGTGGACTGGTTCTGGCTCCAGTCACCATGGGGGGCAGACATTCCTCCACGCGGGGCAGGAAACTGCAAAACAACAGGGAGTGGCATTGCTTCTAAACAAAATAATGAAGGGGGTGTGGAAGCGTGGAGGCGAGGTGTGGGAGGTTGTGAGTCCCAGGCTGCTTTGTGCTCGCCTCTACATTAACAAGAGGCGAGGAATGGTGGTAGTGGTTGTTTACGCCACCTCCAAAGATGAACATCAGTGGAGAGTCGCAGTCCGACGTCTTCTATAACCTCCTGTCTCAGGTGCTAGCTAAAGTGGCCCCTCGGGATAGTCATCCTGTTGGGTGACTTTAAGGCCCGAGTGGGTCATGACGCAGACACCTGGGCCAGAGTGATTGGAAGGCATGAGTCAGATCAGCTCAATAATAACAATGGCAGGAGGCTGCTATACTTCTGTGCAGCCTATGGGCTTGGATTACCAACACGCTGTTTCGGCATCTGTGCATCCACACAACATCATGGATGCTATCCGGGTCCAAGTGTAATGCGGACGTAAACGCCCGCATTACACTTCCGGAGGGCCGTTTACTAAACGGCCCTCCGGAAGTGACGTCATGAGGGGAGGAGTTAGGTCACGGGGAGGAGAGGGGTTAAGTCTATAGAGGGAGGGGAACCGGAAGAGGAAGGGGAGTGACGGGAGACCAGGAACGAGTAAGGCCACGTAGGGCGAGAGCGGAGGGTGGCGAGATCGCCACGGACACGGGGAGCGAGGATCGGCACCGTCGGCCAGCGGTAACTGACCCGAAGCAGCGAGGAGGCTGCAGTCAGCAGCGGGTCTGCATACGGAGTCAGGCAGCGGGTCTGAGTACGGAGTTGGCAGCGGGTCTGCATACGGAGTAAGGCCAAGAGGGTCTGCATATAGAATTAGCAGCGGGGGTCTGCACGAGGAGTTAGCAGCGAGTCTGCAGGGAGAGGAAGGAGGCTACAATAGCGATAGCAGCCGGAGGCTACAAATAGAGTGTCTCTAAGAGAGTGCCGTGAGGGAAAAGACAAGAACCCAATAAAGGACACGAAGTAAGAGAGAAGCGTCCGAGTCCTTTATTACACTGGAGTCAGAAGTGAAACGGCATGGCGAAACAACTGAGGAAAAAGAATATTCCATCTCCGGCGTCGGCTTCATCTTCCGACGACGACGATCTTCCTCCTGCAGTCGGCCTGACTCTGGCAGAGGAAGAGATCCGTGATGGGGCGAGTACGGGTCCGGGAGTCCAAGAGGTCGCCGTGTCGGCGGGACCGTCTGCTCCAAAGGACGCGGATTCAAGATGGACCCAGATGGCGGAGCAACTGGTAACTCTTAAAAACGTCATTACACAGTTGTGTGACCTTGTCACGCCAAGGGCGGCGTTGGAAGGAGATGTTGGTGATCAGCAGGAGCCCGGGTCGTGCTCGATGGCGCCGCCATCGGCCACGCGGCACGGAGACGCCATCTTGGGCGTGGCGCACGAGGGAAAGCGGGAAGCCGCCATTTTGGGACCGCCGCGACGGTCAGCCGCCATCTTGTCGACACCGCGTTGCGACGCCTTGTTGAATTTACCACCGGAGGAGTCAGCGGCCGCAGGAAGCAAGCCAAGGAGTCGCAGTCGTCACCTAACAACTGTCAAGGAATTCTCCATCGGTGGCGATTGGAGTGCGTTCGCCTGTAGATTTTTGGCAGCGGTACGCACAGCGAGGTGGACGGACGCCGAGGCACTGGAGGTGCTTCCGACTCTTCTTGATGATGAGTCCGTTCGTTTTTTTCGCTCCATAAAAGCTGAGAAGAAGAAGACTCTGCGAGGGCTGTTCGACGAAATGGCGGACGCGTACGAGCCGCCGGATGACGCCCATCGCCGGTTCGTGCAACGTCAACGCGCACCCGAGGAGTCACCGGTAGCGTATAGGGGCGCCGTGTTGGAACTTGCTATGGCCGCTTACCCGGAGACGGAGCCTGACCTGCTGGAACCTCTCATCCTGGGAAAGATGTTGGAGTTGTCCCGAGATCTCGGCATTCCTATGCCGGTGTGCGGTCACGAAAAGCTCACGTCCCGGGCCGCGGCCAAGTGTCTGGACGCCCAGTTTAACCTTCGCCGCTGGAAACAAGTCACGGCGTGGACAGGTGGTCCTGTCGTCGAAGGGGGTGCCTTAGGGTGGGACCCTAAAAAGGCTGTGTACGTGCCGGATGGGAGCGGCCAGCAGGAGCTGTCAGCTGCCTCTGCTCCGTGGCCGGCCCGGAGTGGGCCGGGGCCGCGGGCTGCGCCGCCGGTACGGCTGCGTCGGGACGGGGTGCCCGCTGCGCGCCGCACCGAGGTCGAGTGCTTCCGCTGCGGGCGTCGGGGCCATTATGCCAGGGACTGCTGGGCCCGCGTTCCGGGTCCGCCCCAGCAGGAGGCCTCGACAGCGGACGCTCCTAAGAAAGATCCTACAGCACAGGCAAGTCGGTGTGCACCAGACACCCGGCAAGGCCTGACACCTCACTCATCGCCGTTGTTGTGCGACGCGGATGTTGTTAAATACGGGAGGCCAGTATCTGCGCCTTGTCGCTCGGTAACGCAGTGGAGTAAGCTGGCTCGGCGGGTTGTCGCGGCCGCTACCGGTTCGTCCACTGTACCCGGGTCGATCCAAGGGGTGGACGTACGTATTTTGGTGGATTCCGGTGCGTCCGCGACTATCATTTCGGATGTGATATTCCACCTGTTGAACATCCCACCGGGGGCCGTGAGGCCGGCTTACGCTTCCTGCGTCGCTGCGAACGGGGGTAGCGTGGGCATCGTGGGCCAGGTGGACGCTAACATATCTATCGGGGGAGTCTCGGCCTCGGGAATTGTATTAATTTCGAGGTCCCTTGCGGTTCTTTGCCTGTTGGGTACTGATTTTTTGGCCAAAATGCCCATTCTAATTCGAATCAATGAAAACTGCATTGAATTACCGGGGGGCCGGAAATTGGCATTTCTACCGTCCGCCTGGGGGCGACCGGCTCCTGTCACCCAGGTGCAGGCGTTATCGGAAGTTTCGGTTGATATTCCACCTGGCTCGCAGATGCTCATTCCCTTACGATATCGGAAGCCGGTGCCGCGGCGGCAGGGAGCTTTTGGGGTATTGCTGTCGCCGTCCGCCGCTGTTACGGGCAGATTGGCGCTAGTGGGGGCGCAAACTATTGTCCGGCCAGATCAGCGGCCGTTTTTGCAGGTGCTTAATGCAAGTACTGAAAGTGTGTGTGTGCCGGCTGGTACCGTTGTGGCACATGCCACTACGGCGTTTACGGCTCAGAGTGATCTGCCAGACGGGGGGCTGGTGGGTGGTGTTTCACACGATGGAGCGGTGGATGATCGTTGGATCGCTGAATTGTGTGGGGAG